ATGCATGCTGTATGGGCAAATTTGTTAATATAAAATATATAGTTCTATAATATACATTTGCATTACATGTAAGTGATGAATAAAATCTACATATATTGGTTATTTATAGTTTATAAATAGTATAAGTTTAAACATATTCAAACAATTTGCTATATATAAAGTTTTAATTTTCTTTCTAATATTGTTTGTTTCAGCTATCTTATAAAGTATAAAGGTTCTTTATAAATTATTTTATATTTTTGGATATTACGTTCAACTTCGATTCAATTATTCGGATCTATAAATCTTTATTGCACTTTTTATCTATTTTGTAACGGTTCACCTTTCCCGACGCCGCGGATCGGCTCGCCGGTTCCAGGATTCGGGAGGAAGGGGGAGATTCAGACTCGCTTATTCCTTATTAACAATACTTTGGTTTATTCAAAAAGAAACAAGTAAACAAAATGATTGTTGGCATAGAGCCTAAATAGAGAAACTTATTGACTACTCGGTATAAACGAAATGTTTGTTGGCATAAGCCCTAAATAGAGAAACTTATTGACTACTCGGTATAAACGAAATGTTTGTTGGCATAAAGCCCTAAATAGAGAAACTTATTGACTACTCGGTATAAACAAAATAAGGAGGCGTATAGCCTGTAGCGGTGTCCGGAAAAGATTTACAAATTACCCGGTATAACTTAGAGATACGGTGTACGGAGGCGTATAGCCTATGGCAGGAAGAAACCGGAAACCGGGAAACCCGGCGTAATGACGAGAAACCCGTCACCCGGTGTATAGCAGGAAGAGACCGGAAACCGGGAAACCCGGCGTAACAACGAGAAACCCGTTGCCCGGCGTGTAGCAGGAAGAGACCGGAAACCGGGAAACCCGGCGTAACAACGAGAAACCCGTTGCCCGGCGTGTAGCAGGAAGAGACCGGAAACCGGGAAACCCGGCGTAACAACGAGAAACCCGTTGCCCGGCGTGTAGCAGGAAGAGACCGGAAACCGGGAAACCCGGCGTAACAACGAGAAACCCGTTGCCCGGCGTGTAACAGGAAGAGACCGGAAACCGGGAAACCCGGCGTAACAACGAGAAACCCGTTGCCCGGCGTGTAACAGGAAGAGACCGGAAACCGGGAAACCCGGCGTAACAACGAGAAACCCGTTGCCCGATACTAAAGGTAGGAGGCCAGAAACCGGGAAACCCGGCGTAACAACGAGAAGCCCGTTGCCTGGCTAGGAGGTCTGGAGCAGGACTGGTGCCGGCTCATCCGTCGAGCCGGCTTATATACCCTGCCGGCGGTTCCCCCACTCTACCTCGAGGCTGTGGTGGGGGTAACGCCGGCGTCGTAGTGGGGCGCCTCTGGGGGTTGTAGTGGGGCGCCCCTGGGGTAGGGTGACCCGTGTATCAGTTGTGATTTTGTGCTTAGGGGCGCCTTAGGCGCCATAGCCTCAAGTGGCGGGCGGGTGATCGGCCCGCGAGGCGTTAGTAACGGCTACGCCGTTACAATTTAATTTTCTTGTGTCTCTCTGAATATAATTCAAAATGCCTAATAAAAAAGTCAAAGAGAAAAATTATGTCGGAAAGTTAATGAAAAACTTCATCTGTCATTAGCAATAATTAGTGAAACGGATCAATTAGCAAATAATGAAATATTCTTAGATGAATATTATAATCAGAATTGTAAAAAAATATATAATAGTGTTGATAATGAAATTGTTATTGATAATAATGATTTTAATGATAATAATGATAATAATGATAATAATGATAATGATTTTATAAATAATGATAACATTTTATTAAATAATCAAAGCAATAATTTGGAACAGAATGATTATTCTTTTCTTAATGATTTACAGCAACGTAATGATACTAATATTTCACCTCCATTATTTGCTAAGCCTAAGGAATCTCTTTCCACAAAATTAGGAAAATGGTCTATTGACAGAAATGTTAGTTTAACTGCATTTAAACAGTTATTAGATATACTACGCGAAGAACCATCATTAATTAATATCTTGCCAGCTGATCCACGTACTATTTTGAAAACACCCCGCAAATCTAATTCTTTAAATAATTCATATCATTATTTTGGTATACGCAAGTCACTAAATTTTTTATCTTTGAAACATAATGTAACTGTCGATCAAAATACAGAATTTTTTCTCGCAATTAATATTGACGGGCTGCCTTTAACAAAAAGCACATCAAGTTCCTTTTGGCCAATTTTGGGTACAGTTAAATCAATTAAAAATCTAAAAAATCAAGTATTCATAATAGCTTTACATTATGGAAATGAAAAACCTAAAGCCAATGAATTTTTAAAGGATTTTGTAGAAGAATGTATAAAATTATCAAATGGAATAATGATACAATCTGTTTTATGTAAATTCAAAATTTCAATGTTAATTTGTGATACCCCGGCCAAATCTCACATTTTATCTATTAAAAGTCATTCAGGTTATTTCTCATGTACGAAGTGTGATCAGGAAGGGGATATGGTTAATAACGTTTTATGCTTCGTTGAAACTGAAAATTTAAAAAAAAGAACAGATCATTCATTTAGAAATACCCTTCAAATCGAACACCACACAGGAGAAACACTTTGGCTTCAAATTCCCAATTTTAATATGATTGATAATGTACCTTTAGATTATATGCATAATCTTCTATTGGGTGCAACAAAAAGGTTGTTATGTTGTAAGCGTTATGGATGGATATTTGGCAAGCCTCCTCATAAATTACGTGCTTTAAATATTAATAAAATTAACAATAATCTTCAGGCTTTAAAAAAATATATTCCTTGTGAATTTGCAAGAAAAACTCGGCCAATAAACGAATGTAAAAGATTTAAGGCGACCGAATTTAGACTTTTTCTGTTATATACAGGCCCAATAGTTTTGAAGAAAGTAATACCATTAAAAGAGTATAATAATTTTCTTATGCTAAGTTTAGCTAGCTCAATATTGATAAGTAATCAGTACACAAAATTTGAAAATTATATTTCATATGCCGAAGACCTAATAAAATATTTTATTAAGAATTCAATTAAAATTTATGGACCCGATTTTATTTCACACAACATACATAGTCTATTGCATTTAAGTGATTGTGTACGTTTATTTGGTTCACTTGATGAATTCAGTGCTTTTGCATTTGAAAATCATATGCAAAAGTTGAAAAAGTATATCCGTAGACATTCGCAGCAGCTACAACAAGTTGTGTGTAGAGTTAGTGAGGATAATAATTTTTTGCAACCAATACAATTTGTAAATGATAATTCCATAACATTATTGCAGGAACATTTTAATGGTCCATTAATAAATAATTGCACTTCTCCGCAGTACAGGAAACTTAAAACGATTAATTATTGCTTAAATATTTTAAAAGTAGCTGATCGATTTGTCGAATTGACCGATTCAACTATCGTTGAAATACTAAATTTTGCATCATATCAAAATGAAATATTTTTAATAGGTATCAAGTATATTCCTCACAAAGATTTTTATTCAAAACCATGTTTTTCTTCATTATTTGATATTAAAGTTATTATAAAATATAATACTATATTTCAAATGTGGAGATTTGACAAGATCAAAAGAAAATTACTAGTTTTACCATATAATGATCAATATATTGCATATCCTCTACTGCATTTATAATTGTCTTAAATAATTTTATAATAAATAATAATCGATCACATTTTTCAATAGTTAGTTAAACATAAAATATTTGATAATTTTTAATTTAAATGGAAATTTATACTAGCTAGAAAAGAAAAATAACATACAAGCTAACGAAAAGTTAATTTTATAAGTTATTTTTCTTATTTAATTAGTATAAAGTCTCAAAATATACTTAATTCAGATTTATTATAATATAATAATTAATTGATCAGTTTTGCATTGAATTTTTTATTTTTTTATTAATTTCTTTATTACATATGTATTTTATTGTTTAAAAAAATATTCCTTTTCTCTAGTCTTTCAATAATTATATTTTAAAAAACCCTCTTGTTAAATTGTGTAAATTTTATAACTAATTTTTTTTCACTGAATTTTATTCGTTGAGATATTTATTCGTTGATAGATAAAAGTTCAGTTTAGATTGAGATCCGAAATTGATTACTATCAGGTTATCAAGTAATTAAATCTGAATACCTGTAGCCCATAAAAATTTTAAAATAAAAAATTAGCATGTTGAGAATAAAAGTAACGAAAAGATTTCAAAGAAGAGTCAGTTATGATATTTATTTTATTCTTTAAGTGATCTTGATCTATTTGCTAAATCATAGTTTTTCTCAAATGACATATCTCTATTTGTTTATTTCATTGTCTACTAGAGAAGTTTTTAATAATTGAATTTGAGTTTTAGGAATTTTTAAGAATTGATTAATATGTGTATATAGATGACTTGGCTTGTTGTTCGATTCAAAGAGGATGACACTGTTGAGGCAATACCGAAAAAATGGTTTTTGTTAAAAGAATCTGCATGCTATTGGCCACCACAAAATTATAAAACTACAGCTATTAAAGCAGCTATAAAAATGAATATAGTCCTGATTCAAACTGGATGAAATACGGAGCAATTATTTTAGGCACATATGGTAAATATGTTATTGCTTATATTATATAAAATTGTATAACATTTTTATAAAAAAATTATTAAATTATTAATATATGTATAAAGAATTATATACACACACACACACACACTGTTATTAATCATGGAATATCTTCTTTTATTTGTAATTATCATAAACTTATAATAATTACATTGTTATTTTGTACCACACATTTATTTAATATGCAATTCTATAATGTACAACAATATGGTAGTTATATTCTTTGTTATTGGATATATAATAAGTAATATTTATTTAGGTGATTTAAAACTTGCTAAAAGAAAGGCAATTAAAGCCCAACGTACAGATGATCTTTCATCACATACGGAGATTTTAACGAAAAAGAATAATAAAATACATAAGCGGGGACAAGGCAAAAGTAAAGGATTACTCAGATACTGATAAATCTTATGAATCGATATCTGATGAAGATAGCAACACATACCCTACATTACCACTTTCTGGCAAGAGACACGGTATAAGATAAATACTTTTCTAGTAAGAATTCATTTTATTTTCAAAAACTAATTTTCCTTATATTTAACAGATAATGATCGCTCTCCAATGGAAAGTCAAAATATTACTAATCGTAAGTATTTTTAAAACTTGAACTTTTATGTAAAATATTTATTATTACATTATTAATCAGATCAATATACTGAAGAAAATACGGCTTAGCAATTTATATATTTAAATACTGCTACCGGCTTTAAAGTGGAATAAATTAATATAGAATTTATTTATTAACACTATTATTTAGATTAATTTATATTAATACTATTATTTAATTAATACTATTATTTATTATTGAAAAAATCAATATTGTTTTAAAATATTAATTTTTTAAATGTATATTATAATTGTTATCTAAAACCAAAATATTTAAATATAAATATATTTAGATAACAATTATAATATACATTTAAAAAATTAATATTTTAAAACAATATTGATTTTTTGAATAATAAATAATAGTATTAATTAAATAATAGTATTAATATAAATTAATCTAAATAATAGTGTTAATAAATAAATTCTATATTAATTTATTCCACTTTATATTTATATTTAAATATTTTGGTTTTAGATAACAATTATAATATACATTTAAAAAATTAATATTTTAAAACAATATTGATTTTTTCAATAATAAATAATAGTATTACTTAAATAATAGTATTAATATAAATTAATCTAAATAATAATGTTAATAAATAAATTCTATATTAATTTATTCCACTTTAAAGCCGGTAGCACATGGGTACATTCAATGCGGAGCGGAAAAGTCGTCAACATATACATACGAGTATATTCCTATGGTAGATAAGCTACGACAGGCCCAGCGTAGTCCGCTGTAGCATACTATCATAGGAATACATATGTTGAAATTTTTTCTGCTCTGCATTGAATTCACCAACGTATTATCGGCCTTAATATAACAAGTTTGTTGTTATACAACAATTCTGTTAAATAAGCATTATTAATTAAATTGATAATATTTTCTTGTTATTTTAAGATAACTTCAAGCAAACTACAGATAGCGTTCACGTAAATGCTGGTAAATAATTATTTTTATTCTTTATATGTTTTGTATTTTTTAAATATTCCTTTTTGTATAATATTTTAATATCCAATATAACTTAACTTTCAGAATTTTCAGAATTCAGAAAACAACTTCTTAAAGAAGTTCATCTGATTAATCTTAAATTAAATGATCTTATGGATAACGTGAATATACTTGTAAAAAAAGCCCGATATGCTGATGAGCCAGAACTAAATGATGACACTAATACGGCTGTTATGACTTTAATACAATCGTTTCCAGTCGTTACAGAGCAGGAATTAATGTCGATGGAAGAATGGCTATCGAGTTCAGCTGATAACATACATGCACTGGTGTGTACTTAATTATATTATTATATATTATTTAGATTATATTTTACATGATGAAAATTATTTTCTAATAAAGAACTTTTTTATTTTGTGAATTTTATATTTTAGAGTCATCAACTGCGTTTAATTGGAGGCACAGATCTTCCCCATGTAATCAAAGCCATTATGTCGAGAGCAATTTCAAATGAAGTTGGAATGCTATATTCCTGGGAGGGAGCTCGGCAAAAAAAAGCTTTTAAATCGCTAAAGTTCGTCCAAGTGATCATTGGTAAAATATATTATTTTATATACTCTACATCAAAACCATTTTAAGCATATACATATACGCTTGAATCAAGTTTCATCGTAACATAACTGTGTTGCGTAATCAAATAATATTTAAATAGAAAAATTTGAATTTGAATTTAATTTTGTTACATTACTTTGTCGCTTTCATTTTTTTATTCACAATTTTTTATTTAATATCTGTAATATATATGTATTATATGATGATGTTACGCATTAAAGTTCGCAGATCTGTTCACACCGGTTATGTTGCACAGTTACGTTATGTAATGCTCATATGCGTGCGTAACTTTTATATTTACTAAATGATTTTAGGTGTTGTTCGACTGAACTCCAAGACAAAATCTGCAACAGAATCGGATATCATAGAAGTAATAAAAAATTGGCTAGTTAGAAGTAAAGAACGCAGTAACAAGTTTCAATCAAAAAAGAAAACGGAAAACACTGTGTGTCAAACAGATTCCGTTTGTGAAACAGGCTCTGCTTGTGAAACAGGCTCCGTTTGTGAAACAGGCTCCGTTTCTGAGAAAGACCTTATTCAAGATTAAGATAATTATATGTATAACTTGCCGTTATATATATATAATTATTTGTTTTACATTTATTACAAATTAAAAGTAAAATTTTAAGGTTTTAAATACTATTAATTTGATTGTTCTGCTACTATATATATTATTTGCATTTATTATTTTTGTTTTTTTTATTTAGTGCACATTTATCAAAATTGCTTTTTGTTTTTATTTTAAAATTGAGTTCTTTTTATTTTAAAACTTTAAAACACAACAACGGTTGAAACAACAGTTTTTAATTGTATAGAATACTAGCTTTTCGGACCGCGCTTCGCGCGGTCCTCAAAGCCAGCCTTTCTATTCGGACCGCGCTTTGCGCGGTCCTCATATAGTCTATATTAAATCCGTTTTAACACAAAAAATTAATTCTTTTTTGTATTACCGCGAACTACTTCCACATTTGTTGTTCGACTTTCACGAAATTATACCAAAATAAATGTTTAAATTTTTTTGTGGATAACTACTATGTTATCTATTTCTTTCTCCCAGATATTTTATTTCTTTTTTTTAAGACACGCTTTCTCTCTCTCTCACTCTAAAACACACGCGCTCCCTCTCTCTCTCTTTAAGACACATGCTCTCTCTCTCCTTATCTCTCTCCCTCCCTCTTTCTTTAAGACACACGCTCTCTCTCTCTCTCTCTCTCTCTCTCTCTCTCTGTGTATGTGTGTGGGGTTTTTTAAGTTTACGCTTTCACCTACGCATCCACCCACACAATCGCATATTTATGAACGGATTTTTTAAAAATTGGTACCAAAATGTTGCAAATTTTTGGCGACGATGTGGTTTTTTCAAGTGTTACACTCCACCCACACGCATGCGCATTTATGGACCAATTTTCACGAAATTAGTACCAAAATGTTGCAAATTTTTCTGAGAAAGCTGCTGTGTGGTTTTTTTTAAGTTTTATCCCACCCACGCATGCATCCACGCATTCACACATTTATTCACATACTTTTTTGAAATTTGTAGTTAATTTTGTTGGAGATGGCTACTATGATTTTAACAATTTTTATCATCCTATTATCACCCACGCACCCATGCACCCATTTGCATACGCATTTATTGACTTGGTCACACCAAGAAGTAATTTTAAAAAATTTGTGTACGTATTTGTGATTATGTGTGCAATTCGTGTAAATAAACCTTTAATTTGTATGCAATTTTCACGAAATTAGTACCAAAATTTTGCAAATTTTTGCAATCACAAACATGTACACAAATTTATTTAAAATTACTTATTGGTGTGACCAAGTCAATAAATGCGTATGCACATGGGTGCATGGGTGCGTGGGTGGATGAATAGGATGATAAAAATTTGTTAAAATCATAGTAGCCATCCCAACAAAATTTGAGTACAAATTTCGAAAAAGTCTGTGAATAAATGTGTGAATGCGTGGGTGAATGCGTGGGTGGGATAAAACTTTAAAAAACCACACAGCAGCTTTCTCAAAAAATTTGCAACATTTTTGTACCAATTTCGTAAAAATATTGGTCCATAAATGCGCACGCGCGTGGATGAATGCGTGGGTGAGGTGTAACAATTGAAAAAACCACATCGTCGCCATCTTCAAAAAATTTGCAACATTTTGGTACCATTTTTAAAAAATCGGTTTATAAATATACGATTGCGTGGGTGGGTGCGTGGGTGGAGGCGTAAACTTAAAAAAATAAACACCAGCTTTGTCAGAAAAATTTGCAACATTTTGGTACTAATTTCGTGAAAATTGGTCATAAATGCGCATGCGCGTGGGTGGGTGCGTGGGTGGAGGTGTAACACTTGAAAAAACCGCATCGTCGCCATCTCCAAAAATTTGCAACATTTTTGTACCAATTTCGTAAAATATTGGTCCATAAATGCGCACGCGCGTGGATGATTGCGTGGGTGGAGGCGTAAACTTAAAAAAATAACACCAGTTTCCTCAGAAAAATTTGCAACATTTTGGTACTAATTTCGTGAAAATTGGTCCATAAATGCGCATGCGTGTGGGTGGATGCGTGGGTGGATGCGTGGGTGGAGGTGTTACACTTAAAAAACCGCATCGTCGCTATCTCCAAAAATTTTGCAACATTTTGATACCATGTGTTCAGAAATATTGCAAAAAAAATTTTTTTTCGCAAAAACATACCCTCCTCTGAAGAAAAAAATAAAAATAAAAAAATTAAAAAAAAAACCCACAGCAGCCACCCCCGAAAATTTGCAACATTTTGGTACCAATTTCGAGACAATCGGTCCACAAATGCGGAAGTAGTTCGGGCACAGACAGACAGACAGACAGACGGACGGTGCTTATATATATAGATATTATATATGTATGTATTAAAATAACTTCATTGGATATCTGTACTATACATACATAATATGACATTTAAAATGTTTTTCGAAAATTATAATAAAATAAATGCTAAAAAATTATATTAATATACAAAAATATATGTATACAGTGAATATGTTTTATTACAATCCACTGTTATATTACATACATTTTCGTATATCCATATATTTCTTTAGCATTTATTTTTTATGATATTCGAAAAACATTTTGTACGTCATATTATGTAATAGTACACGGATATCCAATGTCGAATAAATTAGCTGGAATCTTGATATAATATATATATATATATATATATATATATATGTAACAATTAAAGGTAGATAATTAAAGTATTAGTTTAAAAATTTGTCACATTTTTATAATAAATACTAAATACAAAATGATCAAACCTATATATGGCTGTATATTTGATCTTTTTGAACCTCTCAAATAATATACATATAATATATGAAAATGTATATACATTAAATGTACATATAGATATATATATTGGATATACGTAGTACATGCATATGATGGACAGTATACGTTCTTTCGATATACATAGTACATGTATGTGCGAGGTACAGTATACGTTCTTTGGATGTACATAATACATGCATGTGATGTACAATATACGTTCTTTGGATATATATAATACATACATGTGATGTACAATACACGTTCTTTGGATACACATAGAATATGCTAAAAGTGCGACGATATGGATATACAAAAATGTATGTTCCATGTATGTACATTGGATGTACAAATGGATGTATAATAGATCTACCTGAGACCTACGGTGCATTGCTTTTGAACATCTATACAATCTGCAATGGACATCTTTCAGATGTGTTATGATATACACAGGATATCCAGAATCCATTTCCGTATATTCTATGTACATCTAGGGGATCTTTTGTGCTGACTGGGCATCTATTTATTTCGGGCTTACTTCTGTCAGTTATACATTGTTCATCAAAACAATGGTTAATTTTGTCGGGGGTTTGCTGTAAATATGATTTATTGTATTAATCTGGTATGTAAACATATATATTTTTGTAAATCTATAATTATTTGTATGATTAAGCGCATTAAGAGTATATTTATATGTATATAATTGTTTATAGATTACTTGAAAAGGGCTGCAATGACAGCCGAAACGTTGTAAATTAAACTAATTATTTAAAATAAATTATTGCCAGTCTGGTCGACTTTAAATTGGAGGAGAGTTTTTCATTATTTATTACTGGCGACTCTTAAGGATTATCATTTATTTATTTATTAGTCTATAGTTATTTATTTATAAAGTTTGTAATTAAGAATTCTTAATAAAAATATTACTTTAATTTAGTAAAATAAAATTAAAATTAAAAACTTATTAATATTTATTTGTTTCTAAGTATCTTTTTTCCTTGATTTTTTCCAGGAAAGACAAATATTTTTTTTTCTTTAAATTATTTCTAAGGATTCTTTTTCTAGAAGAAAACATCAATTTTTAAAGTAAATAACTAAAAAAATTAAAAATATTTTGTTTACAAAGAAATTTTGGAGCACCTTGTAGAAAATGATATAATTTTGTAAGTTACAGCTTATTAATAATTATAACATTGATCATAACTATAGAATTAAATTTACACACACAAATACATACGCACGCATATACATACATGTGTACATACTCACGCAAATCACACATGTACACACACACGCACACACTAACATATGCACATACTTTACCTATACTACATACACATTATACACATGTATACATTATATACTTATTGATAATAATATTAAAATTTTAGTAATAATTTATGATCATAAATTTTAACCAATTTAGATATTTTATTCTTAATTAACAAAATATTTCAAAATTTTATTAATACAATTAATTTATTTTATAAAATAACAGGTTATAGCAGTTCAACATTTTAAATCAGATCAACCGAAAACCAAAAGAAATGGTAGAAACGCATCTTTATAATTTTATTATGAACAACAGTGAAATTATCATTCAAATTGCTGCCTGGAATGATTGAGCTTTTAAATATACATAATAACTTAAACAAAAGTAAGATATTATATAATATTATAATAAAACATTTATAAATTAAAATAAATATTACATTAAAAACATTTATGTAATTATTTGTTATATTAATTAAAATCAATTATTAAATTTAAATTATTAATACAAAGTTTACCACTATTTATTGTGCCTATTAGCATTTATAAAATAATACTCTATGTAACAAAAAAAGCCGCGCCTAATTTCTTATTATAAATATTTTTAGAAATAAAGAATATAACGTAAAATTTGGACAAACATAATGTAAATATATAGGTATAGAGAAACTGTGTCATTATTTTCATTATTTTAATATATTAATGTGGAATAATATTATTAATTAAATTCTATATTATTAATTTTATTAATTACAATTAAAGTTATTCATATTTATTTGTTTTAACTTTCTATTGTTTTTCAAGGAAAAACAATATTTCTTTTTTCATCGTTTCTAAGGAAAAAAAAAGACGCTAGCAAAAAACCGTAGAGCATTTCTTGTGTGTATCGACTCCAAGACGGTTGTGTAGTACATTCATTTTCTTTTTAACGTAAGTATTAAAGATTATTATGCTGAAAATATCAGTATCAAAATTAATAAATTCTACTTTCACAGAGCAAAATTTGGTATAAAACTCAATGTTGAACATTATTTATATTATTAATAATTGTTAAAAAAGCATTTAATAATATAAACACATTAATATAGGTTTAACATGGCTTTAAAAGAAATAACAAATACCAATTTGTTTACAAAAAAAGAATTTTGGAGGACATTATGGAAAACGATACGACTTTGTAAGTTATATTTTCTTAATGATTATGCATATTAATAATTAGTTATAATATTATAAAGAAAATAAAAACTATAAAACTAAATTTACACACCTCGCGCGCACACAGTCACATGCATACATAAAAACACACACACACACACACACACACACATACACGTACACTTAAATTTTCACATGTAACATACACATTATACATTTAAATATACATAGATGCAGATACACACAAATATACAAACGCATACGCACAAAAACACATATACATATACACATTATATATTTATTTACAATTATAGTTTTACATTAAATAATTTTAGCAATAATTTATAATTTTAAATTTTAATTATATTAGATATTTTAATTTTAATCAAACATTTCCTTATTTCAATCAAATAAATTCTTTCATTATAGTGAAATAACTGGCTACGTCAGTTCAATATTTCAAATTAAATCAACCACAAGAAATGGCAAAACAACGCATCTTTTTAATTTTATTATGAGCAACGGTGAAATTACCATTCAAATTGCTGCCTGGAATGATTTAGCTTTTAAATATGCAGACATAATAACTCAAACAGAACAAGTAAGATATTTTTATATTTATATAGTATTAAAATAAGATTTTTTATATATTATTATTTATATAACATTACATTTTAATATATTTATATAATATTATTTATCATATTAATTAAAACAAATTCTTAAATTGTATAGGTTTATTCTCTACAAAAAGTGGTACCTAAAATCCCTTTGAGGAAAGAATATTTACATAATGCTTCATTTCCATACGAATTATTAATCCGAAGTTCCACTATTGTCGTTCCTATTGGCATTTATAAAATACCAAAGAAATTGAAACAATTTCTTTGATTAAAATGCAAAATGCCAGAACCAAAAGTGGTTTAATAATAGGTAATTTAATATTATAATCTCTCTTATATGTTAATCAATATATTAAATTTAAAACTTTTTGATTATCCAAAATCAAATTTTGATTTTTAATTGTAAATTTAATAATAATAATCAAATATAACAATATCAAACATAATAACAATAATCAAATATAACAATTTAACGATATCAAATAATAACAATAATCAAACATAACAACAATTATCAAATATAATTAAATATACTCAGTAAACACAAAGTAACTGTAACATAACATATATATTAAAAAGTCCGTTTTAATAAGATAACAGTTACGTGACATGCTCTGTTATATAACAGTTACATTATAGGAACAGACATTTTAATATATTATTATGTTATTATTATTTTGTGTTTACTAACATAATCAAAAGAATTTAATTTAAGTTTTAGTAGAATATGCTTCTTTTATTTCAACTATCAATTCTGAAACATTCTGTATATTTGTTTTCATTAAAATTCCTAATTATATGAATTAATTATTATCTAAAATATTTTAATTTTCTTTTCAGAAATGGAACATCATATAAAAATGATTTTTGAAAAATCATCTAATAATCATTTTTACATTGGAGCGATTACAGATGGTTATTATAAACTGTCTGTTTTAATAACATGTAATGGAGAATTTGAAGATAATTTCACTTACGGCTCACCAATTAAAGTAATAGGAAAAATGCAAGTACCTGAAAATAAACCTCCATATCTTTCAGTTTCGTCAGTGGAAAATGTGCAATTAATTGACGGCGAAAAATGTCATTTTTGCAAACCTTAAAAGGATATCATCCTATTCCATAAATTTTAACAAAATTATTTTCTTTACGAAGAGACAATTTGATTTTAAAAATACAAATATTTTACATATTTAAAGTAATAAATAACATATTTTAAATACTTTAAATATTTACAATAAGTAACATTATATTTAAATT